TGCTTATAGAAAAAAGAAAAAAGAAAATGGAAACATGTCAATTATTACAAAAGAAGATGTGAAAGAAAAGTATTAAAGAAGGATAAAATGCCTGTTTTTCTTAACAATAATGAAGAGACTTACCTACTTGAAGTACCCCCGCTAGCGTCATCCACTAGTGAAGATCAGTTCTTAGGTGTAATGAATTTAATTAAGGAGTATCAACTTACGTCAAAAACTAGAGGATTATGCTTTGATACAACGTTGTTTAATATTGGGACAAATAAGGGATCAGTTTCCAGAATATCTAAAAAACTGTATAAGTATCTTCTCATAAATAGCCTATAGACATCATGTGACTGAATTAGGAATGCTTCACTTTAGGAAATTAGTGACCAATAAGGAGACTAATGGACCTAATAATTCTCTTTTCAAAAAGCCAAAAAATGTTTTTGAATAACCTAATTTTAATTATAATCCAGTTCAACTGTTACGATTTATTAAATTCTACTACATAATATAAAATTTTGTTAAATTTTATATTATGTAGTAGAATCTGTAAAATTCTTATGTTATGTAAACAGAGAAAAGAAGAAAAAAAGAAAAAATTTGAGTGGAATAGGGTTAAAAGCTGTCTTTTAAAAAAGTCAGCCAATAAGTTGATATTTTTTTGATTTTTCACTATAGATATACAGCAGTTTTTTTAAATATAGGTAAATGACATTACATTGGCCACAAAGAACTACTGCTTTTACTTTTTGCCAGAAGTTCATTGATCCCTTTAGGTTTATTACCCCCTTGTAGGAGGGGGAAATAAACCTAACATTAACTACAAAAAATACCTGTTTTCATAATTTTCAATACCACCAAACAAATATTTTTAAGGGGTAGCAAAAAAATCATATATTTTTAAAATAAAATATTGGCTTATATAAACACAGTAAAAACCAGTTTTCGGTCATTTTTTCCATTAAATATTGGCTTGTGGGAGGAGGGGGTTCAAAAGTAATCCGATAGCTCTCAAACTTTTTAAGGCTAATTTTTAATGTATTTGCCTCAAATTAAGGGGTATGGCTTTTTAGATTTGAAAATTTACTCATTTTGACTACCCCTAATATATATATATATATATATATATATATATATATATATATATATATATATATATATATATATATATATATATATATATATATATATATATATATATATATATATATACATATATATATATATATATATATATATATATATATATATATATATATATATATATATATATATATATATATATACATATATATATATATATATATATATATATATATATATATATATATATATATATATATATATATATATATATATATATATATATATATATATATATATATATATATATATATATATCAGGGGCGGATCTAGGGGTATCCTGTGTTGCCCAGGATTCACCCATAATATTCTATGAAATTATAAAGAATTCCGTTTCATAATCTAAAAAATACTAAACTTAAATTTATAGTATACTAATATGTATATATGAGTTCTTTATAAAAAAAAAACATTGCCTTTATAGAAAAACATACACGGCTATAACAATGTTTCAGACTTAGCTCTCCTCCGTCATGTTTAAAAGGCCGCTATTAAAATCAGGATTCTTTTTTTAAAGTAAACGGTACCGAAAAAACCCAATTAATCAATCGTTATTGGAATGTATTTATTTTGCTTGCCGTAATAAAGGCTAAAAAAATCCCTATTGTTTCAGGATTCATTTGACCCGAATCTCCGGTAGACAACAAAAAAAGTTGCAGGAACGATTGATCAAAAGGGTTCTCTCGGTTCCGTTTATATATAAAAATGAATCCTTAATTATTCTAATAACGCCTTAATTATTCGCATAAAGCCTTAAGTATTCGAATAAATTGAAGTTTATCAAAAATTAGCTAATAAGTAGTTTTTATTACAAATTTTATTTTTGTTTATAATTATGGATTTGTTGCTATCCAATGCCATTAAAGCCAAGCATTTGCCTAATATTACAACTTACAAAGCAAAGCTTCGTAATAATCTTAAAGAATTAAATTCAAACTTTCCTTTTGTAAACAAAGATCTTCTTTCTTTAAGAAATTCTGAAATGGAAGCTTTTATTCCTATGCAAAAAGAAAATGAAGACTATATTGTTTTAAAGTATGAGTTTAAACACGTTTTTTTTTTTATGTTTTATTGTGTTTATAAAACAATAATTCTTGACAAATAATGTTTAGTTAAATATGTTTGTTTTAGTTATATTTAGTATATATATATGTTATGACTTAACAGGTCAATGGAGAATGGTAACTGTCTTTACAACTCTGCTGCTTTATTAATAAGGTCATCAGATAAAACACATGAAATTCTTCGACTATTAACTTCTGTTGAGTTGTTTGAGAAAGCAACCTTTTATTCGAGATACCCAATAATCTTAAACCAAGTGGAATCTAAAAGTTTTTCCTCGCTCTCTAGTGTTTTCATGGCATGTGTTTCATTTGAGTCTTGTGATTCTTTTACAGAATTAAATGATATAAATATTGCTGAACTTATAAAAAAAGAAGCCTATAACAATTGCAGAAACAATAAATTTGCTTCTTTTCTTTGTTTAATTGCATTATCTACAGTGTTAAATAAACAAATTCGGTCTATTTATCCTGAATTCGGACTTGAAAAATATAAAAAGTTATTTAATGTATATATATACCCACGTGGTGATCATAAAACAAAAAAAGAAATTCCGAGTATTTTATGGTGTAACACTGATTGTCGCTCTATTTCCAAGGATAAAGAAATATGTTTTATGCTTAAAGAAATTTGTCAAAAGTGATTGTGTTCAGTTTTTGTCAAATTTTTGACAAATTTATCAAAAGAGGATTAAGTTCAGTTTTGCCAAGTGTTTTATCGCATTCTTCTGTTAACACTAAGGTTCTTAATTTATCTTGTCAACCTCCTAAAAATCTATTTTCAAAAAAAAAATCATTAGTTCAATCTCACATAAAGTTTGACATAAGTAATGAGACTAAAATTATAGATGTAAATATTGATATTACTCCTAATCCAATCTTACTTAATTATATTCCTTGTTCATCAGATCAGTCTTTAAGCCTTCCTTTTGATGATGTTTCTACTTACTATGAGCGCGGTAGACAACTATCTACTGGCAAAGATGATTCAATGTTATTAGATCTAGTTAATAGAATATTTATTCCTAACTCGTCTTTTGTTTTTCCTATTTCTGGTGAAAAAAAAAAACGATCATTTTTACATAAATGGCTACTTGAATATTCCTGGTTAGCTTACTCACAGATCGAAGTTGGAGCATACTGCCTTCCATGTACACTGTTGGGAAGCAGAATTCCAAACAATACCTCAATAATCAACTTCATTCGAAAACCTTTTATAATATGGGGTAATGCAATTCGTGCTTACATGGATCACAATAATAATTGTTGACTTCATCAAATGTCAATGCATTGTCTTAACATGCTGCAATCTAGATCTAATTCAAAAAAAAATCTGATTGAAGTTGACATCGATAATCAGAGAAAAAAACTTATTATAAGTAATCGAAATAAATTAATTCCAATTATAAAGACAATTATTTTTCTTGGCCGCAATGATATTGCTTTTCGAGGTCATCGTGATGACAGTAAGTATCATCCAGAGATCGGAGAAACATGTAAAAACAACATTGGTATAGGTAACTTTGTAAAGCTTTTAAATTTTCGTATTGAAGCAGGTGATAAAGTTCTTGAGCTCCATATTCGTTCTGCTCCTAAAAATGCAACCTATATATCTAAAACCACACAAAACGAACTTATTGAATGCTGTGGAAAAACAATCGAAGAAGTTCTAATTAATAAAATTAAAAATTCAGGTTATTTTTCTATCTTGTGTGATGGAGCCTCTGATTGTTCTAATGTTGAATAGCTATCTCTAGTTATAAGATACATTGACTGTGATAATGTTATTTGTGAAGATTTTCTACGGTTCATTGAATGTAAATCTGGTACAACTGGTCTTAGTCTTGTGCAAAACATAGTTTGTGCAATTGATGATCTTGGTCTTGATATCCAAAAATGTAGAGGTCAAGGATATTATGGTGCTGGGGAAATGTCTGGTAAATTAAAAGGTATTTCATCAAGAATTAAATTTATCAATTCAAAGGCTATTTTTGTTCACTGTGCATGCCATAAACTTAATTTAGTTAGGTAAATCATGCAATGTTCAGAGTGTTAGAAATGTTCTTGATCAAATCAAAGATATATCATATTTTTTTAACTTATCACCTAAAGGTGCCAGCTGTCTTAATAAATTTATTTTTCCTGATCAAGCAAAATTAATCGATACATGTGGAACTAGATGGGTTCAGAAACTTAATGGTCTGGATGTTTTTTTTTGATAACTACATATCTGTTTTTCATTCAATGGAAGAAATGGCATACAATGAAGGTAAGAGTTATAATATTGATACTTCTTCAAAAGCTTCATTTTTTTTAAATCTTATGACTAATTTTTCTTTTATTGTAAGTTTAGTTTTAACCAAACAAATAATGGACTATTTCTATGCCATCACTGTTGCTCTTCAAACTAAAGCGTTTGATATATCACAACAGTGTAATGAAATAAATTGTTTAAAAACTCAAATTTTAGATTAAAAAAAAATATTGATGTCTATCATAACGAATAGTACTTAATTGCTCTTGATCTAGCTAAGACTCTTGATGTTTCTGAAGTTAAACCAAGGCTCTGTTGCAGACAAGTTTATAGAGATAATTATCCCTCTGACACAGTTTCAGATTATTTCAAATATTCCATCACATCTCCTATTCTAGATCATTTAATTAATGAATTAAAAGATAGATTTGATAGGTGATATGGTTGTTTACAAAGGTTTATCTGGTATTCCTGCAACTGTTGTAAAAAAAACTAAAGAAAAATGTTTTTGGAAGTTAGATTTTATGGAATTTTTGCATTTTTATATATCGGATATGCCTCATCCTACATCAATTCATGCTGAATTAGATTTGTGGGAAACATTTTGGAACAATCAATCTGTGATCCCATCCACTATTACAGAAACTTTAAAATCTATTTATATGAGGAGTTTCCCAAACATTAGGGAAGGTTTTTTAATAATGGGAACAATTCCAATTACTACATGTGAACGCGAGAGGAGCATTTCTGTTATACGCAGACTGAAAACTTTTATGCGAAGCCGCATGACAGAGTCAAAATTTAATTCTTTAGCTCTGATGTCTATTCATCAAGAAATAATTCCTGATGTAGAAAGAGTTTTGAATATTTGTTCTGTTTTATGGGGAACGACGCTTAGAGTTGGTTTTTACCTAATATTAATTTATTAATTTCTTTTTTATTTATTGACTATATTCTTGTATTTTAGTTTGTTTTATATTTAAGTTTATTTTATATTTCATGAAAATTAGAAAAAACAAAATTAAAAATTAAAAAAAAAAAAACTTTAAAAAAAAAATTGGCCTAACTGCCTATCAAGAAAAGGAAAGAATCCAGAAATGGAGGGCTAACCTAAGGCAACAATATTAATACTTTACATAAACTGCCTTTCAAGAAAAGGAAAGAATCCAGAAAGGAATGGCTAACCTAAGTTAATAATATTAATAATTTATATTAACTGCCTATCAAGAAGAGGTAAGAATCTAGAAATGGAGGACTAACCTTAGGCAACAATACAATTACTTTACACTAACTGCCTATCAAGAAAAGGAAAGAATCCAGAAATGGAGGGCTAACCTAAGGCAACAATACAATTACTTTACACTAACTGCCTATCAAGAAAAGGAAAGAATCCAGAAATGGAGGGCTAACCTAAGGCAACAATACAATTACTTTACACTAACTGCCTATCAAAAAAAGGAAAGAATCCAGAAATGGAGGGCTAACCTTAGGCCACATGACAGTTTACAAATGGAGTGCAAAGTCCTATGGCTTACCTTCTCGTTGGTGCACTTCGTTATATAGGTTAGACAAGTAAAAAATGTCTAATTTTTGAACAAAATAGCCAAGGCAATGTTGTTGTTAGTTTTGTTTTATATGGGTAATTGAGAACAATGCCCGGTAAGTAATAATAAAGTACTGATGCCGCTTTGAACTTCCCCCTCCCCCTCCCCCCTCGCTAGCCCGGGGAAGGGGCTTACAAAAAAAATGTTGCAAACTATTTTGGTAACTTGAAAAAAAACAGGCATCACCCACAATAAATCCTGCATCCGCCCCTGTATATATATATATATATATATATATATATATATATATATATATATATATATATATATATATATATATATATATATATATATTAATACATATTGATTATTTTAGTATGTATGTATATATGATACATATTAGTATATATCGATAATCTTTGAAAATTTTTTTTTATTAAAAACCTGCTTTAGCATAGATTGAACCTTAACAAGTGTACAGTCAAGTGTTACACTTAAGTTTCACAAACATATTTATCAATTTCATCAAGTGTAGCAGTTGTAATTTTTACAAGTGTAAAAAGTGTTAGTTAATTTTTTGTTTTTAAAATATTTATTAAAAAGTTAACGATAACAACAAAATAATATTTATTACAATAAAGTAAACAAGTTTATAAAAAATACAAAATTTAAAAACCAGAAAATATATAAAACAGTATTTTTATGAGTCATATACACTTTAATAATGTGCTGAAAAATACTACACAATTTTTACTATACAGCAAGTGTTTAAATTGATACGATACTACGCTGTCGCTCTGCCTATGTTGTATGGTCAAACTGAATTATTATATTATGGTGTCACGTGGTCAAACAGATACATTTTTAATTGTAGTTGTTTTTAATACTTAAATCATTTGTTTTAACCGATGCATTGGTTAAACTAGAACTTGGTTACGTCAAGCTGGTACTACAAATGTAAAATTTTTTTGAACTAAAAGATGGTAGTTTTTATCAATGATAAATTTTTATATTTGCTTTTCTCTAAAAAAATTATCCCTGATAGTATTTTTGTATTTGCTTTGCTCTAAAATTTGCGAGTACTTGTTGATACTTTTTGCGTTGCAGTAACTCTTTAGTCTTGTATAAATCAACTTTGTTTATGTTTTCCCGACAACAATATTGAGGACAATAGCTCATACATGTGCTTTTACAGCCAATAGGACAAGTTGTGGGTTGCTGTGGCATTGATATATAAGGCATATATTGAGAACCAAGAGAGCTTGATACATCTGTGTATGAATTTCCTGTTTGAACAGGATACACTGGAGAAACAGGGTTATTGTAAAATAAATTAGTTGAAGAAGATATTGGAATTTGGGGATTTTGCAAATATTGTTGTGGAGTTTGCATGTACTGTTGCGGCATTACATATTGATACGGTTGTTGGGATTCTTGTGAAGAGGTTTGAGGGTTACAACAAGCGCTATCGCATGCTGGTGCACATGTTGGCGAGCATGGTAATGGACACCAAGTAACTTGTGTGATTATTTGAGGTTGAGTTCGACTGCAGCATTCTGGTGTACAGTATGGTGCACAACCTGCTGAACAAGGTAATGTACATTCTTTTTGATAAAAAGATTGAGCTTGAGGAGGTTGAACATAGTTATACGATGAGGCTTGGTAAACCACAGGTTCTTGATTTTGAATGTTTGATCCTTGAGCTGTAATGGGCAATGGGTAGTGATAACTCTTGCAACAGTTACTTGGACAGTTTGAATTGCAATTATTTATGCAAGTACTTGGACAAGACGGTCTTTCAACTTTAGCTGCTTGTAGAAGCATACGATGTGATTCGCAGCAAGTTGGTTGACATAATGGAGCACAGGCTTTGTTGCATCCGTTATCGCATCGAAAAACATCATACTGAAGCTTTGGAACTGGTTGTTTGAATTCTTGTAAATTTGCCGTTGGAACAGCTCTAAACAAACAACAGCTTGGTGAACAAAGTGGTGCACATAAACTTTGGCAACCGTTAGGACAAAAGTTTGGGGTTTTCAATGCAATAGAACTTTGGCAACAAGTAGGCTGACACATAGGAGCGCAAGACTGAGGGCAATTTCCTGGACACGTCGAAGTAATATAGTTACTAGATGTTACGGCCTGTGTTAAAGATGGTGGTTTGCAACAAGACTCGGAACAATCGGGATAACATTTACTGCTACAACCTCCTTTGCAAACTTCATTTATATTAGTATTCTGACGACAAGTGTAGAATACTTTAAGATATTTTCGAATATCTGGGCAAATCATGTTGTCTTTCATTTCTAAAAACTCAGGTGTGACAGGAATTTTGCATCTGTTTTCACCTGAACACATTAGTATTACTTTCTCTATCACTGAATTTGGTGTAGTATGATTACATATTTTTTTTGATTCTAAAACTCTGCTAGTGCATATGGTGGTGTCATCACGTCCGTAAAATACTTTACTAATATTTAATTTGTTGTAACGGTTCTGACATTGCAAGTACAAATTGTCTTCCTGGCAGCCAGCAACAGCCTGTAAATAAAATTACAAATAAAATAACAATGTTTCAAAGAATTTTAAAACTTTGCATTTGCAATAAATAAATATAATTATTTATTTATTTTTTTTACCGTACAATGTTTTTTACAATAAGATTGATAATATTATACGGGCAGGACCTCTAGAAGATCGTAATGACCTTATCACGAAGCCCATAACAAAGCTCTATTTTCTTCTACAATAAAAACATCTATATACTATATAAAATAAATATATACCGAAAATATAATCATTAAATATATCATAAATTTAATACTGTACATACTTCAGAAGTGAAACTCATAATAAAACATAACAAATTAATATGCAGTATAGCAACTGAAAATAATTTTTAAAAAATCAAAAAAAATTAAGAGTATTTTTTGCTGAAAAAACATTTTTTTAATAGATTGTTTGAAAAAGGAATAGGTCAATTCAGATGAAAAAATAAAATTAGGCCGTACTATTTCATGCCAGAGAAAAGTTCCACGGTAAGATATGCAAAATGAAGCTGGTTTATTTTTGCAAATAGGTTTTTCTAGAATGCTATTATTACGTAGGTTATATTTGTTTTGAAGTTAACTTGTGTAAAGGTTCACAAAAATATCGGGAGACATAAGTTATTTATATTTGTAATATAACACAAAACATATAACACAAAACATTAAATACATTTAGTTGATAAACATTTAAGGTGTCCATTTCTTTAAAAAGCGGTTTAGAGTTCGAAAAACTATTTTTAAAATTTATTATGCGAGTTGCGTGTTTCTGATGCCGAAAAAGAGATTTAAGATAAGTTTTATGTGTACTTCCCGATATAATATTTGCTTATTTATATGCCAATGAATAAAAAAATAATATAATTGTGTTAATTGCTTTTTGTTTAAAATACCTCTAGATTTGTATAGAATTCCAATGCTTTTTGTAACTTTATTAGAAATATTATTGGTGTGTGATTTTCAAGACTTTCTTCAATTGAATATATGGAACTCAAGATAAACAAAATATTTTTATCTTATTTATTTATAAATAAAAGGTTAAGGTAGCAAAAAAACTCAAATGTTGTTCAGTTCAAGATTAAATCCCAAACAACTTTTTAAAAAAAGAGTTTTAATCAGAAAGAAAGATCAAATAAAATAAATACAATTAATATCATGTTTTAAATTTAATTTATTATTATTTATATACTTATACATTTTATAATTATTATATTTAATTTATATTATATCTAATATATTAGATAATAACTAAAATAAAACAATTTTAATAAAACAATCAATAAATATTAAGAATAATAATTTTAATTAAAAAAATAAATAGATAATTAAATATACAAACAAATATATAACTTTATATCAGACAACCTCTGGGAGGTGTATGTTCGAGGTGTAATAGATTAGACCAACTATGGGAGATGCATGTTCGAGGTAGAATTTACGGTGATATTTTAAAACACACACACAATGCTTAAATCTTAAAAGTACTTTTTCGTTATAAAAAATAAAAAAATAAATAAAATCAAACAAGTATAAAATCATATTTTACAAGACTTAGAGTATATACATTTTCTAAAATGTAATAAATTTAATTTTGATGTTTTTGGATATCTTTTAAGAAAATATATGCATTATAAAATATTATACATAGATTTCCAAAAGCATTAAAATTCTATCTAAAAATCTATGAATAGTATTTTATAGTGTAAATATTTTATAGTGTAATAATTTTCTTAAATGTAATAAATTGAATTTTAATGTTTTTTAAAAATCTATATACAATATTTTATAGCGTATATATATTTTCTTAAATGTAATAAATCAAATTTTCTCAGAAAAAATAAACTCTGATAAGAAACTTGATAAATCAGCAAAATTAATATTAAATAACAGTCGCAAAACTTTCTAAACCAATGAATCAAAGTTTTATAATGTTTAAATATACTTACATGATCAACATCATCTGGAAATTTTGAAATAGGAAGTTTGTTCAGCCCTAACAGTGAAAAAAAATATATATTACTTTTTATGCTTATTAACAAACAAATTAAACATTTGTTAGCTTGTATAATATATAATCAGATGTTTTTTGTACAATCCTTTGCTGGCTTAAATCATTTATATATATATATATATATATATATATATATATATATATATATATATATATATATATATATATATATATATATATATATATATATATATATATATATATATATATATATATATATATATATATATATATATATATATATATATATAACATATATTTAATAATCAATATTTTGAGTTATTTGAGAAATTTATTAATTGATTATGTGCCCTTCAATAAATAAATTTTATTTTTGGGGTTTTTCTATTCTCGTACGCTTGAGAAAAGAATTGTAAAATTAATTTTTACAAATTAATTTTACAATTATTGACCGGATTTATAAACAATTTTTTAGCTAAAGTGAGTCATAATTATAATCAATCAGAAAAATCAGAAAAATGGAAAATTTTTGTTGGAAAAAAACAACAAAATTAATATACTTAAGAAAGCTAAGAAAAAGAAAAAATTGATCTATCTAAATATTGGAACTGGCAAGTTTACACTTTTCAGTGCAAAAAAAACGTGCCCTGTTGGTATTGTTTTGAATGACAAAAACACAACCGAATTCTTTTTACGATTATTAAATCATGAAAATTTTTGTCAATCAGTAAAAAACTCCAAAGAAAAAAAAACTCCAAGAAATTGGAGTACTTTTCACATCGTCTGAGTAGTCTATGTTACGCTTTAAGATTTTATCTCGTTTTTCTTTCATTACTCAAATTTTCTCCATTGTTTCAGCATCGTTCTAAGCCTCTTCTTCACTTCTTGAATTGTTTCTTTTTGATTTTGATAACACTTGCCACTTATGATATATTGTAATCACACTTTTATAATCCCACATAATCATCCATGCAATTTTATAACCACAATTTTTATAATCATACACACAATTTTACAATCACAATTTTATAATCACACATAATTATACACACAATTTTATAATCATACACAATTATACACATAATTTTATAATCACACTTAATCATACAAAATTTCAAATAAAATTAAATTAGCATTACTAATGTTTTTGCGCTTTGATGATTCAAAATGTAATTTAAATGTTTTTACAACAATCTTTGACGATACAATACATTCTCACGTCCAGTAGTTGAAATATGAATGTATGATCTGATAGGCAAACCAGTCGTATGTAATTTCCTTTAAATATAAAGACATGAGTGCAGTTACCATCAAATGCAAGAATGTATTCCCTTTAACTGCTGGGATAAATAGCTGTTTTAACCATTTAATAAAATACAATTCAATCTTGGATCCATCAATTTTGAATCTGATCTTGTATATACTCCAGCTGGACCATTTTTGCGCCATAAAAAATATAGTATCTTTTTGATTTATAAACAATGAAAGGTGGTAAGAAGAAGCTTGACGTATTGATGCAGTTGTTTACGGTATACTTATATTTTTCATTGTTGCCTGTAAGTTTGAGGTTGCATTTTGCCTTTTTTATGCATGAAAGTGAAACTTTTCTCAGGTTACAACTAAAACCACACTAGTCGCAGATCCATAGGTGTGAAGCTTTTAAGCGATCAGCTTTTGCTTCATTGTTTTATGTAGTTATTTAAATCAAATGTATTTGAAGTGCAACAAAAATTGCGAAGTTGTGAAGTGCTATGACGTTCTGTTTAAAGCAATTTTGTCTGATTTGATTGATGCTACATCATGTTTTTATCTCTCTTTAAAATCATACCGTCATTTTAAAATTGGCAGTTGCACATTTACTTTATATTTATCACTTTCTTTGATGAGATGGCATCAGTACGATCGATGTGTCGCTTAATACTTAAAGAATTAAAACTTTGCTAAATCAGAATGTACGACATTTCTACGTGTAAGTTTCATGTAGGCCACATGTGGGAAGCATATGTAAGCTATATTCTAACCATTCTCGTTTATGGGATGGTGTCGGTATGGTTCATGTGTGAGTATAAAGTTTACACCACTGAAAATCACACTAAACAAGAAAGAGCACAGTACTATATTTTTGCGCAAAAATTTCACGTGGGCCACGTGTTGGAAGCATATGTCAGTATATATATAGTGTTTAGCTTTCTTGATGGGTTGCCAATTTTTAATAAATGCTTTTGTGTTAAACAAAAGGAGATTTACTGGCATAATTTCTGAATCATTGAATTTAATAAATCAGCAGCAAAAAGCCGTTGGCCTATTATTTCCATGTTGACATACATTTATATTTTTATTTTTCTTAATCAATGTCAGTTTTGGTATATTTAACTTGGATGCACACTATCTTAATGAAATTCCTTTCAATAATATTTTAAAGCATTTTTAATAGCTTCTTTGCTGTTTGGCATTTTTTTTTATAGTAACTAATAAAATAACAAACAACGTTCATTTATTAACCTTAATTAATAAAATAACAAACAACGTTCATATATTAACCTTAATTAATAAAATTACAAACAACGTTCACATACTAACCTTAATTAATAAAATGACAAACAACGTTCATATATTAACCTTAATTAATAAAATGACAAACAACGTTCATATATTAACCTTAATTAATAAAATGACAAACAACGTTCATATATTAACCTTAATTAAGATTAAGAAAAATACTATTAGATTAAAACAGACAAATGGTGTTTTATTTATTGCAATAAAATGGTGTTTACTTATTGCAATAAGAAGTGGAAATAATTTAAAGAGGAAATAAACTGATGTATATCAGTTTATTAATTATTGATCGAATTAATTTAGTAATATATCCTCCTCTGTATAGACCTGTTTTTATGATATCTATTAATACTCTTTGTTTAGATAAAGCTTAGTGACCAATTTAAATTAGTGACCAAAACTAACTTACTATATAGTTAAATACAACAAACAAATAAAATTAAGTAACCTAGCAACAAAAAAAGATATAAATGTATAACAGCTTTTAGTTACAGAACAGATATAAGTTTAAACTTTTTTTAAATTGAAAATATTAAATTAAATATATAAATGTGACTTTTAATGCAACGTCTCAGTTGCGTGTATAAAAAACAAAACTTACATAACGCCACAGCAGGGTATATAAAAAGGAACGTTAGCCTAATTTGTTGGACAAATCTCATTGTGAATTGAATTATTTCCCTGCTCACATTCTGAAAAAGGTAAACAATGCAAAAGACATTTTCAAATCAGTTTTTAAAATCAACAAAATATTTCACGATGAAAATTGTAATAATTTCATAACTTAATTGTATAATTAAATATACCTTTTTAAAAATAGCTTCATTTTCTTTATAGTAAAGATTTTTAAAATTATGTAGAGTATGTGCAGCTATTAGACGCCCGTATTATTGTTGCACGCTTCAATGGCTTCCTTATTGGAATTTTTTCCATTTTAGTAAATTAACATGCTCGTTCCATATCTCTATTACTTTAAAACAAAAATAGAATAAAAAAAAACACAATAAAATTGGATTATTTATGTCTTTTTTGAACTTAAGTTAATAAACAAGTTAAAATCAATTTTATAAGAAGTTTAATTTAGTAAAGAGAATCTGGTCAATTGAAAAAAATTTTAGTCTGATGAGAAAGTTTTTTAAGTTTTTGTGCTTCTTAAATAACCGGTCTGCCCGCATTTCTCGATGTTATCTTTCTTACCCGATTACTTTTTAACTCGATTTCTTCCGATTACCTTTGATTTCGAACGTCTAAAATTTTCATAATATTTTTTTATTCTTGTTTAACTTATTGGTATGTGGCGGTGGGTTGTGATGCTTTTTAGTGGGATGAACTTGTCTTCTGCGGATTTTTGTATGTGGTCTCCGTATAGCAATTAGCTGGAATAGGATGAACTACTATACCAAAAATTTATTGTAGTAAAGAAAGAACAAAAGAAATCGCACTTAATATAGCACAAAAAATTTCAATTTAAAATGCATTTACATTTATTAAAGAAAAAAATTTGTTAAACTTTACTTTTTATTCTTTTCTAAAGAATAAAAAGTAAAAATTGAAAAATAAACGGTCAAAATAAAAAAAGGCAATAATAATTTTAATAATAATAATATTTCAAATAAATATTGGAAAGTTGAATAATGAATTGTCACTAAAAATTGCAAATCGTTTTGGAGCTTGTACATTGTACAATGTACAGTAGGACAGTGTGTCCCAAAATACTCAAAAATCTTTGTCAACATTACAAGCTGAAAAACTGTTATAATGATTAAAGAAAATATTTATTTAAATAAATACTAAATATCAATTAAAACGTTCTTTTAAGCGGTTATTGACCCATCAGTTTAACAATTGTTATAAAACACTATTTTGCATTTTTTTAACAATCAACCTGATTACATTACTATTGTTTTAAACTAATTTTAGTGAGAACCATTTTAAATTATATTGTTTGAATTAGTTTTTTTTTTCATTCAGAACCTTCGTTTTTATGCATCAGTAGCAGGCAGTTTTTAATATTTTTTTTTTGTTTGTTAACCTTTGCTATTGTTTGTTAGATAAACTATCATCCAAAATTCTCCAAACATTTGGTTATGTAAATCTACTTTCAATGTATGTAAATAAAAATCCATCATAAATACTTTGTCAACTTTTCCCCTAAATAAAGTTATAACAAAAAAAAATTATTTTCGCTTAACGGTGAGTCGATGAATATTTAAAAATACATATTTAAAAAGTATGTATAGTACCTACAAAATCTTTCGTTAAAATATATCGTCATAATTGTGTAAATATTAATATAAAATAGTTACTTTATGACAAATACTTACGTTGAAAAATATTGCATTTGGTATTTATAATGATGACAATTGTCTTACCAGTTAAAAATTTTTATACATTTTTTGGCTAAAATTTTGTTAAAAACAAAACAAATTAAAAAACTATAATTTTATGTTTAAAACTTAATTTATGCATTGTAATGTTATGTTAAATATAATTGCATTAAATATTGCAATTATAATAAAAAAATCAAAAAATATTATTTTGGCACAAAAAATCTTACATTGTCCCACTGTGCTCTAGTTGGAAAGTCAGTGAATATTTAATATAGTAAATCTGCACATTGGTGAACAAAAAATTAGAATTAATTAAATGCCATCAAAAAATGTTTTAAAATGTAAAGGTTTAGGTTTTTATGAGTTGTTCTCTTCCTAGTGGGAAATGAGCTATGAGCTAGCTAGCTTGTTTTATAGCGATTTTTTTTCTCACTTTATTATTTCAATTTGTCCTTTAGGTCTCAAAAAATGAAACTCTTTTAGTTTTTAATCTAATATATTTAAGATAATAATTAAATTTATAACGCTACGATTTTCATTACAACATGTCACTATCTACATATCACATATTTACATATCGCAGTTTTTATCTATTGATATTATTACAATATATCAATATATCTATTGATATTATATTACTACAATATCAAATTGATATTACTACAATATATCTACTGATATTACTACGATACATTGTTCTTTACAAAGCTGAGATATCTAGATAGCTACTAAATAATGATAAATCTGTCGCTAGTCGATAGCTACATGATGCAGCTTTGTAGCTAGCTACATTACTACGGAATATTGATAGCTACAAATCATAGGTACGTAGTTAAATACAACATAAAAACGAGTCTAAATCTAGTTACTAGCTATATATTGTAGCTTTTTAGCTAGTAACTACATAACGACAAGTTCACAGCCACTATATTATTACAGCCACCAATTGGTATAAATATGTGTATACACATTGCTAACGATTACATGTTGCGACGCGGTGCAGTGGTTAGAGTGGTAAAAAGCAAGACGATGGCTCCGCGCAAAATCGGTCTATCTGTTCTCTCCGCCTATAACAAAATTGAGCTATCTGCTATCTCCGCGTAAAACAAAATTGGACTATCTGCATTCTCCGGGCGTTTAAAATTTTCATTGCCGTTTACAAGTCCGCCGATAAATGTTGTTACTATTATATTTCAAATAAGAAAACAATAATTGCATTATTTTTCTTCTATTCTTATTATATAAACCTGTTTAAGTTTTAACACAAAGTTTAGCGTGCCACATTTGATTTTGTTTAGATGTAATTAGTTAACAAATTAATGCAATACTTTTAAATAGTTATAAGTTAATGCAAATGAAAAATTTACAATACTTTTAGAACATCATTTTAGCTGCTGAAGAAAAAACAGTCTGCATCTCAATTCTAAAATTAGTAAGCGTATACAAATGATTTGATCAATGTGTAGATGATCACAAAACCAACTGTGTATGTTCAAATTAAAATGTACTAGATTAAAAACTCGTTTTACAGTTTTACGAGGCTTATTCGAATACGTGAAACATTGTTTGGTGTTTTTCATGTTTGTCTATTTTCAACAGAAAAAACAAAAACAAGTAGTGTTACTGTGTTATCTATATTATATACTATATATGTAATATAGGCATACTATACAGGGGCGGATCTAGGGGGTATCCTGTGCTGCCCAGGATTCACCCATAATATTCTATGAAATTATAAAGAATTCCGTTTCATAATCTAAAAAATACTAAACTTAAATTTATAGTATACTAATATGTATATATGAGTTCTTTATAAAAAAAAACATTGCTTTTATAGAAAAACATACACGGCTATAACAATGTTTCAGACTTAGCTCTCCTCCGTCATGTTTAAAAGGCCGCTATTAAAATCAGGATTCTTTTTTTAAAGTCAACGGTACCGAAAGGACCGTTTTAATGAATCGTTATTGCAATGTATTTATTTTGCTTCCCGTAGAAAAGGCCAAAAAAATACCTATTGTTTTAGGATTCATTTGACCCGAATTTCCGGTAGACAACAAAAAAAGTTGCAGGAACGTTTGATCAAAAAAGTTCTCTCGGTTCCGTTTATATATAAAAATGAATCCTTAATTATTCTAATAACGCCTTAATTATTCGCATAAAACCTTAAGTAATAAATTGAAGTTTATCAAAAATTAGCTAATAAGTAGTTTTTATTACAAATTTTATTTTTGTTTACAATTATGGATTTGTTGCTATCCAATGCCATTAAAGCCAAGCATTTGCCTAATATTACAACTTACAAAGCAAAGCTTCGTAATAATCTTAAAGAATTAAATTCAAACTTTCCTTTTGTAAACAAAGATCTTCTTTCTTTGAGAAATTCTGAAATGGAAGCTTTTATTCCTATGCAAAAAGAAAATGAAGACTATATTGTTTTAAAGTATGAGTTTAAACACGTTTTTTTTATGTTTTATTATGTTTATAAAACAATAATTCTTGACAAATAATGTTTAGTTAAATATTGTTTTAGTTATATTTATATAACATATATATTTATAATAAATATAACATATATATATATATATATATATATATATATATATATATATATGTTATATTTATTATAACACACACACATATATATATATATATATATATATATATATATATATATATATATATATATATATATATATATATATATATATATATATATATATGTTATGACTTAACAGGTCAATGGAGAATGGTAACTGTCTTTACAACTCTGCTGCTTTATTAATAAATTCATCAGATAAAACACATGAAATTCTTCGACTATTAACTTCTGTTGAGTTGTTTGAGAAAGCAACCTTTTATTCGAGATACCCAATAATCTTAATCCAAGTGGAATCTAAAAGTTTTTCCTCGCTCTCTAGTGTTTTCATGTCATGTGTTTCATTTGAGTCTTGTGATTCTTTTACAGAATTAAATGATATAAATATTGTTGAACTTATAAAAAAAGAAGCCTATAACAATTGCAGAAACAATAAATTTGCTTCCTTTCTTTGTTTAATTGCATTATTTACAGTGTTAAATAAACAAATTCGGTCTATTCATCCTGAATTTGGACTTGAAAAATATAAAAAGTTATTTAATGTATGTATATACCCACGTGGTGATCATAAAACAAATAAAGAAATTCTGAGTATTTTATGGTGTAACACTGATTGTCGCTCTATTTCCAAGGATAAAGATATGTGGTCACCAAATCATTTTGTTTCTATTGTGAAAAGAGAAGTTTTATGCTCAAAGAAATTTGTCAAAAGTGATTTAAAAAGAGGATTGTGTTCAGTTTATCCAAGTGTTTTATCGCATTCTTCTGTTAACACTAAGGTTCTTAATTTATTTTGTCAACCTCCTAAAAATCAATTTTCAAAAAAAAAATCATTAGTTCAATCTCACATAAAGTTTGACATAAGTAATGAAAATAAAATTATAGATGTAAATATTGATATTACTCCTAATCCAATCTTACTTAATTATATTCCTTGTTCATCAGATCAGTCTTTAAGCCTTCCTTTTGATGATGTTTCTACTTACTATGAGCGCGGTAGACAACTATCTGCTGGCAAAGATGATTCA